GGGAACCCTTTTTTTTTTTTTTTTTTTTTGGGGGGGGTTTTGGTGATTCTCAAAATTTCAAAAAAAAAAAAAAAAAAAAATTAATTTTTTTTTTTTTTTGTGTTTTGAAGTGGTGTTGTGGTGATTCTCAAAATTTTAAAAAAAAAATTTATTTTTTTTTTTGTTTTGAGAAACTAACAAAAAGAACGCATTTTCAACAATTTCAAAACAAACACTCAAAACACAAAACTCAAAATGAATTCAAAACTCAAAACACAAAATTGAAACACAAAGAGAACACCCCCTAAACAATTTGGTCTTTTACTTGAGAAGATTGAAGGTTTTTTGATAAAACTCTTGGGGTAGAAAGGTTTCGGAGAACTTATAGCAATGAAGAAAATAAAAAAACAATTCAAGACAGTCATTGCAGAAACAAGGGTCATGGCCCCCACCATGTCGAATAGCCAAGATAAATCAAGATAAATGACAATATGTTTACAGACAGTATTTACAGCATGTTTTACGTAAGATTTTTTAGAGAATGTGGGGTTAAAATGTAGAATTAATCTATTTGCACAATGCTTTTGTACAACACTGTTGACAATGTTGGATGTGGCAAAAAAGTGTTGGCTCAAAAGATGAATTGTTTTTTATATTGTCCAATAACAACATACCATGAGGCATGTTGTCAACAATATTGTCAAAATCATTGTACATCAAGCATTGTTCTAAAAAGTATGAAAAAAATTATGGATCCACATGCAAAACTATTTATTGGAAGAATATGTGGTTGACACTGAGTTCCGAGAAAAATTAATTTTAACCCCTGTTTGACGCTATTTTTTTGAAACAAGGTTTTTTGACGCTACTTTTTTTTTTTTTTTTTTGAAACAAGGTATTCTACATAAACGCATGCATTAAAAATTGTGTGCCTTTGAAAATATTTTCTTGCTGACATGGATACATAGATGATGCAGATGTGGACCCATTATACTGTTGCAAGAAATAAATTGGGTAAATTTAAGGGTATCAATCAGACGCTTATAGATTCTGTGACTTAAAGCATGTGCGAGCCTCATTTTTCTCAAAACAAAGATAAAAAAAATTAAAAAAATAAACGCATTTTGGAATACTGATTTGACAAAGAATGTGTGGTTAAAAAATAAGAAAATAGCTTTGGGTTTGCGTGTAATATTATTTTATTGAAAATAAGAAAGAAAAATATATTTTTGAAATAATGGGGTACCAAACAAGCTGTCAACATTACAATTAGCAAATAGCATAAAACAATACACAAATAAAAGGAGATGTCCATGCAAATGGTAAACCTAGGCTCTGACCTCGATAAAAGATAGTTAAAAAGGATAGAAAGAAGTGGAGGAAAGAGGTTGCAAGCCATTTTTGTGTAGAGTTTCAAATCTAGGGGGTGTTTCCCATTTTTATAAAAATGAGAATGAAAAATATAGTCGAGCTCCACACAAGATAGAAATTCAAATTTGGTGGCTTGATGTGATGGATAATGATCATATTTTTCATTTTATTGGGGGAAGAATGGGAAACAAACATGAGTCTAATATGCACTGCTGGAAGTTGGAGTAGGGATGGGGGAAAAAATAAATAAATAAATAAACAGACCTAAATAAAGAAAACGACAAACCAAAAATAAGAAAAGTAACATCCAAAACATAAAGCTTATCATTTAGGATCAAACCATGTCATCTTTCAAATATTGGCATACCTTTCCTGCTTGTGAAAAGAACTCATAAACATCTCTTTCTGTGGCCTTCAGAGGCATCTGCAAATGAAAAATGTTGGGAAATCAAATAACAGATTAACAGTATTCTAACCATTTTCACATACTCATTCCAAACATAAACAAAGTGTGTGACTTGCAAAAATTTCTGTGTTTGGTCCTTGAGATGCAAGTACAATCCGTCAAACAACAAACCTGGTAGGCAAAAACAGTTCTTTGGTCCCTTTCTGGATCTGCTTCAGGCTCTGTTGCTTCTTTCTTATCCTTGAATCTCCTGCATTATCGACTCTGAGCATAATAAGTATAAATCCAATTATAGGAGAAGGCCAATATAATTATATCAGTGGCCTCTAGCCTGCTAGAGATTTGTTGTAAGAACATAATCTCACACCCTTGTTTTTAAGACTTCCCGGGTTTAATGAATTTTCACCCCAAAAACTCCATGCCAGCATCTTCCTCGTAGTTCGTTCCAATTTACATGGCTAACTCCTAACCAGAAGAGTGATTTTAACAATAAGTAAAGAAAACAGAAAAGAAAAACAACCTAGTGGATAATTTTTCGACATGCCACAGTGAGCCCATTTCACTAGACATACAGCAAAATAAACAATCTGACCATTTGCCAAAATAATCATTAAACACTCACATGCTGGAAAGCAACAGAACAGAAATAACAATAGAATGAGTGAGAACGACATTTGTGCATTTCGAAAAAGCCAAGCAACATAACTAGGTAATCCACAGCTCCATGACTATATCAAGCTCACAAAGTCTGACAAAAATTTATCAAAGGAAAGCACAAGGATCAACAGCTTGATTATTTTGAAGCATAAACAAATTGATATTTTTAATTATCAGATAAGTACTTTTTTGGATCAACCTGTAGTTGGAAGGACCCTCATTTGTTTAAGACATTTTGAAATTATAAATAAAAACTAAATTTGTGCTGTGCACATCAAGAAAATTCCTCATTGATATTTGAAATAAATAATTAAAAAACTCTTTCAAAACTCAATGTAGTAGCCTGAATGAAAATTTACAAGCCACTCTTCTGTCAACTATATCTAAGCAACAAATTCATATGGAGGTTGAACACTTTTCTAACTTACATTCATTAATCACTTTGCATACTCAAATATATTACTGAGTTTCAATATTTCATATAACACACTAAACATATTCACAATATGTTAATTTCAGATAATTTCTAAAAAGCAAAATTGCTGTTTGCAAACATGGAGCTTTAGCAATTTCATCTCTGAAGTTAAGAAACAGTTGGAAAACTGATACAGTTCACATAAGAATTGCAAACACGAAAAATTCAATATATCACCGATCAACATCTCAGCTCGGAGGTAAGAAAGCAACCTCAAATCCAGCTACGCAAAACACTAGAAGGGTGGAATCGTGAGCCAAGTCTAAGAACCCGGAAAGAAACAACAGAGCTAATCAATTCGGTGAGTGGAAATTTCAACTTCCTCAATGAAGAAATCTCTGAGGTGTTTCCTTGTTGAAAGCCCATTAAGATGTGAAATAACCCATCAACTTTATCAACCCAAGTAAAATGTTATATGCTCTATGCATAAATTTATACTTCCCTGCAATGACACCATTTTTTATACATTTTGTTCATGCTTCAAACCTAGTCACAATGGATACGAAGAGAAATCATTCAATAAAAACGTACATAGAACTTTCTACTTAAATTCAAATTTCAAACCCTGGACAGGTACTAGGGTTAACCTAATCTCCTAAATCCAATTACCGGCAAGCCTCAATGGTTATAAGGTGAGACAATCTTAACTAAAATAAAAGCACAATAATTTCCAAGACATCAAAAACTGAAAATCTTCGAGTTCAATTGTCCAAGACAAACCGTTAACAGAATATTCGAATTTCAATAGCTCACCTCGCTATAATATATATAACAAATCAAATTCTGATAGGAAACACAAACAAAATAACCACAATCAAAGGCATTTCATCAGAAAGTCACAATTTCACCAATCAAGTAACTCACTCTTGAGTTAGTACCATAGTTAGAACCATGACAAGAGTTCGCTACAATTTTGAAAGTGAAGAACAAATCAAGGTTTTTAAGTCAAAATCTCCAAGCCCAATTTGGTTTAAAAGCAAATGAAAGACTGATGAAAGAACAAATAAGAAGCATTTCATTAAAGATTGGCTTTATTAAGAGAAAATGCAATAGACATCACCTGCTGTCGCGCAGTTCATGCTCCCTTCCTCTCATCAAATCCCTATCCCTTTCATGCTCCAGCGTAGGTCGACTCCTACTCCTCGGCCTCTCCTTTTCCTTTTCCCTTTCCCTTTCCTTTTGCACCTCCCTCTCTCGCTCCTTCCCTTTCTCCCTCTCCCTCTCCCTCTCCCTCCTCTCCTTATCCCTTTCCCTGTCCCCTTCCCTCTCCTTATCCTTGTCTCTCTTCTCCCTATCCCGTTCGAGTTCCCTCGAGCTCCGCCTCTCTCTATCCCTTTCCCGCTCCAAATCCCTGTCGGAACTCCTACGCCTCAAGCTCCTCTCTCTATCCCGGTCTCTCTCTTTTTCCCTATCACGCTCACGCTCCCTATCGCGGTCTCTGTCTCGCCCATTCTCTTCATTATCCCTGTCTGCTCGCGATTTTTTGCCACTGCTCTTTCGATTCCTCTCTTCTTCATCCAAGTCATTATCTTCAATCCTGTCTCTTCGTCTGTAACCCTTTTCGCTCCTGTCTCTGTCTTTTTCCTTGTCAGAAGTTTCCTTTTCGGCGGTTTTAGACGGGACGTTAGTTTCTTCCACCGCCTTTTCTAAGTAATCATACTCATCGAAGTCCATCCTGCTGCAGCTAATTCAGATTTGTCGATTAATGGCGGTCAGGTTGGTCGAACCGCCAGAATTTGGATGACTCTCCAGTAAAAGGAAGATTGAATTAGGGTTTTGGAAGATACAGAAATAGCGGTGTTCCCTTTAGGTCCAGTTTGGCATGATTTTACTTTTGCTTTTGCTGTTGCTTGTAGAAGAGTATTTTTAAGAAAGCATTTTCTATTTCAATAAATTTTTAAATCAACTTCATTTAAAAGTTCTTCTAATTATAAAAGTACATTTATAAAATTAGGGTTTGTTCGGTAATGACTTTAATAATTGATTTTTTGACAGTTGTGAAAAAAAGTAAATTCTATTTGTGAGAGAAGAAGTGAAAAATAAATGTTTGAATAGTGAAATAACGATCAAAAAATTGATTTTTTAGTTGAAAAATTACTATCAAACATACACTTAGCCCCCGTTTGTTCTCATTTTTGAAAGAATGTAAATGAAAAATATAGTTGTTACGGATGTTATACGAGAGATAGAAATTCAAATTCAGTGACTTTATATGATGAATAATGGTCATATTTTTCATTTTAATGAGAAAAAAATAAAAAACGGACCGGGACTTAGTTGAACGAGTCTGAAAGCTTTTTTTTAATCCCAAAACCTCCCCTTGACATTTCAAAAACCATACCAATCAGGCCGTTAATCCATTTATAGGTGATGTGATTTTAAAAATCATTAAAATAGTGTAATGTTCATAGGTGTTGTATTGTCGGCACTTGTCTGACTCTTTTTTAATAAATTGTCCAATTAAAATTTGACACATGTTTCTTATAAAAAAATTTGTCAGTGACTATGTTCATGTACCATTTTTTAAATTAAAAAAAAAAGGGTTGAACCTCAATCTTGAAGGTCCTCACCATCTTGCCTTTAGAATTTTGTGAGGGAGGTAAATTGCGAGATGTGCCCCAACAGGTCAGGGAACAAGAGCTACATGTATACTGCGCCTACAAAGAGTTCAATTCCATGTTTCAGAAATCGAGCACCCACACTGCGACTACCAGCAAGGCGTAAGATAATCTCACTCTTATCCTTTACACCACTGAATTATGCCCCAAGGGCTACCATTCTCTATATGTATGTGTGTATATGTACGCATGCATATTATTATTATATTCCATAACTGTGTGTGATTGTGTATATAAACTTTTTACTCGAGTATGTTTAGCCCTATTTGATAATCATGTTTACAAAATGATTTTTCTACAAATTTAATATCAACTATATATTCGCACAATAAAATATTTTATACATAAATCCATAACTTTTTCTATTTTTAATCACACGTTCTTTTGAATATTATTATTCCCATCATTATTTTTCCCAAATAATAGTTATCAAACAAGGGGCTTAATTGGGAAATTTAAAAAAAAAAAAAAGAGGATTTGAATAATTTAAAAGCATTTAGCCCCTGTTTGAATCCTATTATTTGAAAAAAAAATACATTTTTAATTATTATTTTGATATCATTTCAATCACATATTCTTCAATTAAATAATATTACACGTAAATTTAAAACTTTTCATTATTTGTTAACCACATATTTTTCATCAATACACTATTCAAAAATGAATTTTTATGAAAAGAATGAGGCTCAAACAAGGGTTTAATGTAAACTTTTTGAGACTCTTTGAAAGATTGATACATTTAGTCAAGATTTTTATAGGCTTTCAATATTTCTCTTTATGTATATTCGAGCCATGATTTAAGAATTAATTTTTTGTATCAGTTATATTTATTTTCACTTTCCTTTTTCTATTTCTCTTTATTGTTTATCTCCATTTCGTATGCTGACAAATTTTTCCCATCCAATTTTTTCTGAAAAATCAATTTGTAATTATATTTTATAGGACATCGTATTGAAAAAAAAAAAAACTAATTTATAACAAATATCAAATTTTTTTATTTTTAATTAATTTTATAGGATTTTTTATAAACAAGATTTATAGTTAAATTTACTAAAGTCGAATTTTTATACTTCAAGAAGTCAAGATTTGTTGATTATATTGAACATTAAATATTTTTTTTATCAAAGAATAATAAAATTTGTCTACTAAAAACTCTCATTAATTCAATAGAAATCTATAAATTTCACGAATTCCACAAAAATCCACCACTTAAAAAAATAAAAAATAAAAATGCACTTCCTTGATTGTAAATATTTTGGTATGTGACAAAATAGTTACTTATTGCAGAACGTGTGAAATCAAATGATTGAAAATAAATTGTGATTTCAGAGACATGTGGGTTAAAGTTGTATTTAAAAGGTACCATAGTACGAAAAATAAATAAATAACGATAAATAGAGATTTTTATATCCTCGTCTAGCTTTCCAAAAATTCCTAGCATGGATGTTTAATGAGATTTTTCCTTTTTTTTTTCTTTTTTTTTTTTTGGGTGTTGTGGACATTCGTTTTTAGTTGTATCTATTTCTTTTTTTGTTGGTGTCGTTGAACTTTATGGTTCGGCTCATTGATACACCTGTTTAATTAAATAAATACAGGTATTTATCTTCTAAATACTATCTTCAAAACGTGTGAATATAATTCATTTTCTCACATCAATAACTAACACTTGGACAGTTTTTATAAAAATGAATAATGGGGAGATTTGAACTCAAGGCCTTTGTCTTTTCGATGTAAACTCGTAACAACTTTGGCTGCTCCACATGAGCAATTTGATATAGAGATATAAGATCAATTTGTCCCATTAAACTTTCAATAATGTATAATATGTTGACATCACATACAATATGAAATAGCATTCTCTACCTTGAATTTTTTAGGGTTGTTAGGTTGAGAGAAACGTTCTATAAGATCATTCCAAATTTTCTCGACATAATTCATTATCTCCATCTACTGGGGGAGTCACGATAATAGAAGTAGGACATCAAAGCAGGTCAATGAATTTTGCATACTTTAATTTGGGCTTATGATCTTTATTAATTGCGGTTATTGAGCAACTATCCACCTAATTTAGCCCTTGTTTGAGCCCAATTATTTAAAAAAAAATGCATTTTTCAACACTGTTTTGACATCATTTCAATCACACATTTTTCAATGAAATAATATTACACGTAAATCCAAATTTTTTCCTTATTTTTAACCACACATTTCGCATCAATACACTATTCAAAATTTCATTATTTTCCCAAAAAGGGGCTCAAACAAGGTCTTAGTGTAAATGTATTGATTGTCGAGAAACCCAATTTGAATACAGTTGACCCAAAGAAATGAGATTCCAAGCCTATTTGTGATCGATTTGGATTGTACGTAATCAATAGAGCATTAAGCTAGAAGTCAGATCAGGGGCAGACATAGAGATTTTGAATTAGGGGGAACAATCAAATTCTGTACAAATCAAATATTTTGTTCTTGATTTTTTAATGATTCATATTTGATCCTAGAAAATGCAGATTTACATTTAAAAAATATTTTTTCATTAATATTTTGCTCATCATTTTCATCTATTCGATTTTGAACAGTCATTTTAGTAATATTTTGCTCATCACAAGAAAATATATATTTATGTTTTAAAAAAATTGTGTATTTAATACAAACAATCAATTCGAGTAATCGAAAGGAAAAACATATAACCAATATTCAATACTAATAATTGATCAAACAAACACAATTCACTGAATATAAGTTAAATTTTATATAATCAGTTTAGACATATGCTACACAAATAGGATAGGAGAAAATGCAAATTTAGGTTCTAATTAGTTAAAAACTTGATTGAAAAGTGATTTTTTGTAAATGTGATAATTTTAGAGAAATTATGAACAAATTTTTTAAAATTAGAAAGATTAATGTTTTGGTAAAAAAACGTAAGTGAGAGAGTAAGATAGAGTAAAAGAAAAAAGAGAAAATTCAAATTTACTGTGATTTTGCCTCTGTTTAGTAGGAATAAAATTAGATTTTTAGTAAATTTTGATAAAAATTAAAAAGTTAAGGAATCCATGAAATGTATTATTAAAATTAATTGTTAATTTTGATTTAGATTTTAATCGATATCAAACAGAACTTTATCAAAAAAAAGAAAAGGAAAAAACAAGAAAATCTCAAAAGTTAGAGAGGTCAACTGACCCCAGGACCCCCCTTGGTCTGCCCATGAGTCAGAGGAGATTTCGCGAGTTTCAAGAGCTAGAACCAACATTTGAAAAGTTAAACTCTAACTTTGGAAGCTAGCAACACGTCAATTATAAACAAATGTGCAGGATGAGAATCGAATAGTAAGGACTAGAGCAGGACAAAAGAGAAAAATTTTGGAACTGTTCTCTTCGTGTTTCAATTTGTAATTTTGAATTCATTTTGGATTTCGTATTTTGAGTGTCTATTTTAAAATTGCTGAAAAAACGTTACTTTTGTCATTTTGGAAAACTGTTTCTCAAAACGTAAAATTGGAAAAAGCGTTTGCTTTGAAATTTGGCAAATCGGTTCGACGCCATGAGAACTAGTAATGTGTCACAAGAAATTAGTGCCAGAGGCTGTAAAGATATGGTCCTCTTGTATACACCCCATCAACTATGTAACCATATCATTTCTTTTTCCTTGCATATTGAATGTATCATCCTTCTTGACATTAACATGCAACCGATGAATGAGAAAAGACAATTTGGTTTGTGCTTTTTATTCTCCTACTTTCTTTTTGCGTCTTTTTTCCTCTAAAATTGAAGAAGTATATCTAGACAATTTCCCGAGGTATCCCACACAGGACTAGAGTACATTTTGTGACTTCAGTTGACAACTTTTTTTACTAGACATCCTAGCATGCATCAAAAAGGATCTTATCCCTATAATCCATTGGTTTCTATTCTAATATCACCATCAAATCACATGAAATTAATGATAAAGAAAAAGAAAAATGGATATCAGCAGGCATCATCAGCCCTCATTTGCCCTGTCCATGGTGATCACGGTACATTAATCCAAATCACAGCATGGCATTTCAAATCACATTGATTAGAAAAATGAATGAGAAAGAACAAGAAAGTTCAAAAGCATGGCATTCCAAATCACATTAATCTAAACCACAGCACATTAATCCAAATCATTCTAACAATGCATGGACTTAGATAATTTTCAACAATTTGATTCAATGAAGAAAGGAATGCATAGCAGTGGAAATATAAACAGCAAGTGTAGAAAAAGAATCTCTCCCTAACTAATTTACATAGATAAATGCAGAATAAACCAACTCGCTCAATAAGCAAAATTCTAATTATTTCCTTCTAGACGATTCTTCTGTTGCTTTGTTACAAAATTCACATGGTCTTGCCTCCTGCCAACACTCCAGTTGAGCTGTGCCTGTAAGTCCAAATAAGGCAGGGAACATAAATAACATAGAATAAAACCAAATAACCAGTTACATAAGCTATTGCTAAAGTTTTAGGTGCACCGCAAAAATAAAAAGTCATAGATACTACCAAAACAGTAAATTCCAAACTATAAACAAGAATTCGGCCAAATCTTGAATCCTAAACAAATGTCACTGAAGTTACTACTTTCCACCCCTGTTCCTGCCAACATTCTATAGTTGAAGCAATTCTATTAGATTCAAAACAAGGAAAAACAAATGAACTAGGGAATTATCGGGACAGCGAATTTCCATTTGCAAGTATCAAACTCAAAGTGAATTACAGGTGTAGCAAGAAATAGGAAAAGTTTTCCAAAATCTTGGTCTTAATTATACATATGCACAGAGTCAGATTCTCGCTATGAATCTTGTACCTAATGCTGGCAAAGCTTATTCCATTACCCATCAACAAGAACGTCAACCGCTTCTCCATGTCTCAAAACAAACATATCTTCCACAAATCTTGCATCTAATAGCAAATCTCACGTGACAAAACCAGCACATCAAAATCAGTAGAGCCTTGCAAAAGGATGTAACAGACCTTAATCGTGATCATTGCGGAAAGTACATATAAAGGAAAAATGCTTTGAGATTATTGGCTACCCTCACAACTAAAATAAACATATACATTGGCCTCATAGTGCTACACCAGCAATTAGTACACCGAGGCATCTAGATAAGCATCAAATTCGTGCTGATCAAAGCTCTACTACATCATCATCAAGGTAAAATCTATGCTCAGACCAAGAGAAGATTCTTGCATATACATTAAATACAATAAGAGCACCTAGAGAACTACAGGAAACTGAAAATAAGGTTGATGAATATTCTCATTCCAAACTCACAACATTCCAATCCATAGTAATTGGGATGCGATGGCAACCTAATTCCGAATATATATGGATGCCCATAAAGAATTAAACAAAAAAAGAAATGCTTACCCATCAGTAAAATTTCATCAATTTTGTTGGGACCGAATCTATTTCACAACTCACGGACTGCTTTCACAGGCACACTCGATTCTGGGTAAAATTGCAGGTGACCCATGATGGTACTGGATGTGCCTGGTTGAGAAGAGTGGAGTGGTGATGGTCCGCGATCGAAACGGTGGTCGACGACAGTGGAAATATGGTGAAAACGATGACTGTTAGCGCGATTTTGGGGGTGGTTGTGACTGTTTTCGACAACTCCGTGGCCAAGTGATGATAAGAGGTTGAAGAGGAAGGCAATGGGGTTCGAATAATAGTAGGGTCTAGGGGATTCGTGGGGGTCGATTGTTGAGGAAGAAGGCGAGGAAATACACGAAAATAGCTCTTCCACTTTAGCAAAAATTGATATTAGCCTTTGACCCATTAATTGAATGGGTAATTGGCACAAAACGTCCCTACTTTTGAATGGGTAATTGGCACAAAACGTCCCTATCTTTCAAGTTTATTGTAGAAAACGTCCATATCTTTCATTTTTTGACATTTTTGCCCTCATTTCAACCTTTCTTTGCGCTGGACGTCCTTCCGTCCATATTCCGTCAGTTTTTCCGTTAAACATTCGGGTAATTGGCACAAAACGTCCCTACCTTTCAAGTCTATTGTGGAAAACGTCCCTACCTTTCATTTTTTGACATTTTTGTCCTTATTTCAACCTTTCTTTGCGCTAGACGTCCTTCCGTCCATATTCCGTCAGTTTTTCCGTTAATTAAAAAGTAATTAGCACAAAACGTCCCTACCTTTCAAGTCTATTATAGAAAACGTCCATACCTTTCATTTTTTGGCATTTTTGCCCTCATTTCAACCTTTCTTTGCGCTGGACGTCCTTCCGTCCATATTCCGTCAGTTTTTCCGTTAATTAAATACAAAAATACATTTTCCTTTCCATAAACAAGGGTAAAATTGTCCTCACCCACTTCACCCCTTTTTCCCACCATCAACTTAGTCCATAAGTAACAGTAGCAGCAACATGAATCTGAAAATACTTTAAATGATTAAGTTAAATAAAGAAAAAATATCGTGAACACATTATATTTCACAATTCCACAACTACTATTGCTGTCATCTTGTGTCACTGGAAAATTTTAGAAAGACGTATTAAATGGGTAGTCACCTCCGTTCAGACACCTCCCCCGTGTGTCTCCGGGGCACAGTGATGATTTGTATGCCTGTTTGAATGGATTTATAGCGAAGGAGGTCGGCGCGCTACTACGAGATTTGACGGAGAGGGTCGATGATCTGGGACAAGGATTGATAGGGAGGATCGACGATCTGGCAGGGAAGGTCGACTATCTGATAGGGAGGGTTGACGATATGGGCCGAGAGTTGACGGGGAGGGTTGACGATCTATCCCATGATGTTGGAATACTATAGTCTTCCGTTGTCGACCTTCAGGATACAGTAGCGACGCTTAGAGGATATTTAGCCGGCAGACGATGGGGGGACAGAGGGGATGGCGGAAATCATGATCGAGAGGGTGGCAGAGATGGTGATAGAGAGGGGGGTCACCCACATTTTTGGCGTGATGAAACATTGGAGTCATTGTGGTTGTCTATGGAGGGGGTGGCCCCGATGGGGATGGGAGAGGGGACTACGGAGGGGGTGGACCCGACGGGAGGGGCGGAGGAGGTGGCCCCGGAGGTCGAGAGGACGCCCGGCGTGATTGAGAGTAAGAAACATGTTGTTGACGAGACGGAGCAGGTGGTCGGCAAGAGATTGAGAGTGCCGTCACAGTATGTTGTTTCCCCCTTCACGGCTGAGGCCAAGAGAAGGACGTTCATCGATGGGACGTACCCGAACTTATTCAGAGAGGTGGACAATGCCAAGTGGAAAGCGTTCGAGACAGAGTAGAGGAGAATTATCCCCGAGTAAGTATTGTATGATTTTAATAAAGCACTATACGCTAACTCGTCTATGCTTATTTTAACATTTCCCTGTTTTTTACAGAGTTAGCCGCACGATAGGTCAAAGGACGGTCTCGGACCCTTACAAGTGGTTCCACGATATCACCACTGCGGGAGCTTGGCTCCCTGACGATGTAAGTGAACTATTCATTTCGTGTTTTTTATGTATATATGACGTTGTGTTTATTAAATGAATAACTCATATTTTTTTGGTGTTTCCTGCTGCAGCACATCGACCTAGCCATGGACTTGCTGCAAGATCGAGCTCAAAGACATCCAAAATTATTTGATGTCGATGGTCGATTCATAGTAAACACCGAGTTCCTGTGTGCTGTTACCATAGAGTATCAATCGCTCGAACTTATGGGTAACGAGTACACGGTGCTAGAATATATGCTCGAGTGGGTGATAGGACTGTCACCGAGTGTCGGGGGAAAATCATGGGAGGGTTGTACACATATATACATTCCAGCGTGCATCAATAAACATTATGTTACACTGGAGATCGTTTTTGCTGACTCGACTATATATGTATATGTAAGATTTCAATTGTAAATTTAATTATTTTTGTAATTATGAAATAATTGTAAATTTGTATTCAATATATATAACATTCAAATTGGAAATTTAATTATTTTTTGTTATTTTACACGTATGTCGAGTATGGAACTATTTTTTTCATATGAATCATTATAAATACCATTTATCAAAAATAAATATTGAATATGGAAAATTTATAAAGAACAAATATTGAACAGTATAAAGTAATGGGAAATATTATTCATTTCACGTACCTGTCTAGTCATTATTTAGGGGAATTTGACTGGTACAAAATTGCCGAGTATGCCCTACGGTTCTGCACCGACCACACCTACGCGGTCGAGGAAACTCTTCGGTAGATGGTATTCTAAATGTACTTGGACGTCCAGGACCACGCGGTTCAACTGCTGGTGGTAACAAATTATGAAACGGGAGAATGTACTCGGGAACTTCCCACTCGACTTCATTCGACAGAGGAAATATAGTCTCGACATATGCTGTTCTCCAAGACTCAGTCGTATAATACAAGGTAGGGACGTTTTGTGCTAATTACTTTTTAATTAACGGAAAAACTAACGGAATATGGACGGAAGGACGTCCAGCGCAAAGAAAGGTTGAAATGAGGGCAAAAATGTCAAAAAATGAAAGGTAGGGACGTTTTCCACAATAGACTTGAAAGGTAAGGACGTTTTGTGCCAATTACCCTTAATTGAATTAAAGAAAAAATAAATTAAGTTAAAAAAAAACTTCACAGTAAAAAGCGATTTTACCCTTCAAACTGTTTGAAAAATTCTGTCTAACTGACCGACCAACGAACAGTCGCCAAAAATTTGACCGATCAACCATCGGCAACTACACCAACGTCGCAGTCAACGACCTTCATCTACACCGGAAATAAAATAACCGGTTAATTTTCATGATGACTTTTTGTTTCAGTAGAAATTTTATTGAATAAGTAAATTTAGCATTTTCCTTACATTATTCGATTTAATTAGATCCATGGGTATGAGTAGTTAGATTGTGGACATGTTGGGAGTGTGAAAAATGTGGATTTTTTGCAATTTTTGGAGCATTATCGTCGGCAAAGGCGATTTTCGGCTAACCGACTGTTAACCCAGACTGTTAACAGTCTGCTTCATATTGTAAAATATATATATATATATATATATTTATTTATTTATTTATTTATTTATTTTTTTTTATAATTTTTGTAATTAATTAAATTTTTTATTTGATTAAATAGTAATTATGTTATTTATTTATTTAATTTTTATCATTGTCAATATAATATAATAATTGAAATATTCTAAAATTAACAATTTTGTGTTGTTCCTTTTTTTTATGAAATTATTTTTAATTTATTTTTTCAAATTTATTTAAATAATATGAATAGTCTTTACATTTTTAAAAAAGGTAAAGTAATTATTTATTTAATTTTTATATTTGTCTTTTATATAATTTAATAATTGAAATATCCTAAAATTAACAATTTTGTGTTGTTCCTTTTTTTTTATGAAATAATCTTTAATTTATTTTTTCAAATTTATTTAAATAATATAAATAGTCTTTACATTTTTCGAAAATGTATTTAATTTGAAGTTTTTTGTTTGTAAATATATTTTCCAAATAATAATTATTTTATTTAATTTTTATAATTTCCTTTTTTTTATATAATTTAATAATTGAATACATAATATTGTTCGAAATTAACAATTTGTCTTGTTCCTTTTATTGTTCTTTTATGAAAATCTTTGATTTTTTTCAATTTATTTAAATAATATTTATATTCTTTAATTTTTTTGACAATACATATAATTTGATTTGTTGTTTTTTGTAAATATATTTTTCAAATGTGATATTTGTGATTGTATGGTAGTTAGAGTTCGGTTCCCTTGATTTTGTGAGATTATGCTTTTTTTTGTTATCTCTTGTTCAATGCTATAACATTTGAATTTTTGCAGGATGGAGTATCATTTAGATGTAGAGTTGAGACGGATGGCGGGAAAAGCTACTTGGAACAGTAGCTTTGAGAGTTTTACTGCTGTGTTGGAGCTGCTTGATGATCAGCACGGAGATATGCTATGACAGTCCTTCTTGTGCCCACTGTACCAGTTGCGAGAGGTGCAGTACTCAGAACAGATCATTGATGCACTTCTATATCGGCTTCTGAGGCCAGTCGACAGCGATTCCCTCCAGCTCGACCTCGGGGGCAAGGTCGTCAGTTTCTCGATGTTTGAGTTTACATTGATCACTGGGCTGAGGATTACGGGCGACGATGCAGCCATGGAGAGAAGCAATAGGTTGTACGAGACGTACTTCTAGGGACATGGGTCGGTGCTTCTACCCGACTTGATGGTCGCGATCAGGGGTGCGACCATATGCTAGATAGATTGAAATTTGGGCTGGTCTACATCCTCGAGAGTGTGATGAGGTGTCATCACAAGAAGACTGCCATCGACATTTTTCATTTGCAAGTTGTTGACGACATCGATGTGTTCAACAACTATCCATGGGGCCGGAGATGCTACGAAAACACCGTACATGTGTTCACAGATCGCACTCGAGGCCCAGGGGGTCGATGCGTAAATACGATACATATGGATTGCCCTTAGCGGTGTAGGTAAATGTTTAATATAATCAAAGTTAAAGTTTTAGTGTATTACACTGATGCTTAATAAGTGTATGTGTTACAGATTTTGGTGTATGAGACAGTTCCTGTACTGGTGGCCCGCTTTGTGCAGCTAGGGGAGACACGCTGCCCTCAGATGCATCATTGGAGATCATCACGAGCGCAGGGATATCCCACTGGGAAGCAGTTATTCGCCATCCTCAACGATCCTCAGGTAAGTATTATACATTTGTGATTTAT